TAAAAAAAGTATCCAATATTTAGAATGTCTGCAAAAGCAGAAGAAAACAGAAAAAAAAGAGGAAATAAAATAAAAAAGATATACAGAATCAAAATAGTAAGAATAAACAAAATATAATCTTTATCATATATTTCTTTTCTTCCCTAATAAAAAAAAGAAAGTGGTAGTGATATTTTCCTATTTTTCCTGTTCTTATCTTCAAAGATCTGTTAGATTTTTACAGCTGATTTTCCAATGTTTTGTATCAGTATTTTTGTCTTCTACCAAATTTCATTACACATATCCAGAGCCAAGACTATAAATATGGAAATAGAATAATTGAAGATCTATTACCCAAGTACTAGGCTTGCTCTCAAACTGATTAAAGAAATAAGAACTTTACTAGTTGAACTATGACAAATATTGTGAAGATTACAAGTACAAGTTTGTACATTAAAAAAAAATTTAATGGTTACTTAAAGCAATCATCCATCATTAATACTAGTTGTGCAAAACTGGATACAGGGTATAAAAGATGATCCAATTTTAATTAATATCACAACAAAAAGAGCTATACCACATTTACTTGTTTTTTTTTGGGGGGGGGAGTCCTCTAACCAATGTTTTTGTCAAATTCCAACTATACAAGTTGGTGAAATTGTTCCATTTGAGATTGGCATAAAAATATAGAAAAACCATCAAACTACAAGTTACTTTTCATTTAGAATATCCTGTTAAGTCATTCATTTATATTTTTTCTCAGTCCCAATGTTGTCTTTTGCAAATTTTTTTCAAAGTAAATAGCAAAAATATCAAAAAATGCAAACATCACTCAGGATCAGACATACTGATATTCAGAAAGAGAAACAAGAAAAAAATTCTTGTTTAGTAAAACAAATTAAAGAATTGATTAGTCATCAATATTTAGTCATCCAAAAACACTACTATCATTATACACTAAATTACATGACATTCCTTCCCAACTGACAAATCAAAGAATGCTTATATAAAATTTTATGAATAGAAAAATAAAAGAAAACTATATCTCAAAATATAAAACTAATGCATCATTTAAAAAAAAAAATTTACTCAAGTCTAAAAAGAAAAAAAAAAACAAGAATTTGATACATAAAATTTTATTTCTTTTTGGGGTTTTTCATTTATTATTTTAAAAATTATGCCTGTAAAAAGCTGGTCTGCCCAAAATTAGCATTGCTTATTAATGTTAATATACATTTTAGCAAGAAAAAGCATAAAATCTGACCTATATCCAGTCAGTTGAATATCATTTAAACTCTTGAAAACAGAGAATGAGGCTGAGTAGTTAACATTAGCAACACAGGTTTGAAGTTGGTTATATTCCTTGGAATGGCCATATATTGAAGTATATGATCTATATTATATCATATAGATCACATATACATATATAATATATACACGTTTTCATTTTATTATTATTATATAAGAGCAACAAGTCCAATACATCTACACTTTTTTAAAAAACAAAGTCAAAATTATCTAAATGAGTTTTTTTTCCTCTTATTTTCAATTGGCAGGATCAATCCATAGCAACATGGACTGGTATTTAAAGATTTTTAGTTTGATTTTTTTCATATTTGTTTTTTTGGAAATTCTCTAATGTACAAGAATATAGAAAACATGCCCAATACATACATATAAGATAAATAAAGGTGGATGTGAGTATATATATATGTATATAAAAAAAGTGTTTTGAAATGAATCTAAAAACATCTGTTTTTGAATGGTAGATTCATTTGGGGACAGCCTGTTTAATCAATAAATTTTTTTGTCTGTGAGTCAAGGCAGGGAATGGGTTTACTGAGAATAATATAAACACACTATAAAAGTTTGTAATCAATCAAGAAAAAAAAAGTGGGAGTGGTCAGAATAAGAGAAAAGGAAAGAAAAAAACAAAAAACAAAGAGGAAGTGGTGGTAGTGATACTTGCACAAAGAAAATGACCCAAATACCTGCTTGTTAATATAGGAAAATAAGACCATAGACATTTTTTGTCATCTAAAATGGACAACAATATGATAGGCCTAAGATATCCTATTAACAATACCGAGTAGGTAGATAAGTAAGTAGATAGATCATCTGTACATATTTCTAAAATACCATCATTATTATTGTTATTATTACTATCATTATCAATGAAATCACATACATCACCTGGACTAATTAAAGTCAATCAAAAATAAAATTTTGCATTAAAGCACACAGTTTCTAAAAGGTAAATATATTTATAAATCAAATCAAATGGGTAAGCAATCATAAATTTTGGATATATTTTTCCCTTTTAAACAAATCCTTCAAGAAGAAGAAATCACACTTAGAAATCACTTTGCTACACACCAGCTACTTCAGTTCAACAAAATAGCCAGCATAATTCAATACTGCTGAAGCAATTAAGTTGTAGCAAAGTAATTCCTGATTCATTGTTTTGTAATATCACTTGACCAAAATAATTCAAAGACATTTCATGCTTTCAGATATTTTTTTATCAAAATTTATAAAGGTGGCTTTTGTTTATCATGACATAAAACCATTTTCAAAGTTATAATGAATTTGGAGGAAGGGGGGGGTCTGTCTTTTTTTTTCTCTCTTCAACTCAAGCTTCTTTCTTTTTTTTTTTTTTAAGTTAACTCAAAGTTCTAATTCCTGAGTGAGAACATTGAGCTTTCATCAAATAAAAAAAATACATTTTACTTACACTGATATTTATTTCTCTTTTAGAGATCAGAAAAGAATAAGTAGCCAGTTATCTATCTTCTTCAAACAGGTTTCTACAAAATGACAGAGATTTTCTAGTCTTAACTACTTATCTAAACATTTAAACGATTATTTTGATTTGCAGATGACCATTGCTGGCTCTCTATTATTATTGTTTATCTTATCAAGCAGTGGCTACTTTTTTATTTTTTTTAACTAAACTATATTCCAAATGTACTTATTGAAAACCTGTCACCAAAATAAACAAATATAAAGATTTCATAACAAAAGTGTATTCAAAATTATGATAAATAGTATTCTTTTCTTCAATAACAATTCCTATAGCCATTACTAAATGCAATGACATGAGTATCATAGAGTAACAGCTATAATTATATTTTATTATAACAAAACAAATATCAAATGACAGTAATTATCATATGCAACAAATGTGGAACATTAAAATAATACAACTAAGACACTCTGAGTATAATATACCCAAGAGATGTTTAGGGGGAGGGGCCTCAAAATGAAGTTCCAGCCTTGTTACAAATAAAGACTACTGTCCTTCAAATTTAAAATAAATGTAAGGAAGCTCCCAGTTTTGCAAGATTAACTTGGAAGTGAACATTATTTGAAAAGTCTCAGAAAATAAATCTGAAGAAGAAACAAAAGTAATTCTCCTTAAAACATTCCTGTTGCTCAAACAGCAACAACAACACACCAAATCTGTAGAGAGAAATATATACAGAGAGAAAGAGATGAAGCAAATAATGTATACATTATTTGAGGCAATGTATACATACAGTTTATATGCATATAAATATGCACATCTGATAATAATATCCAGTAATCTATGTAGATTGGAAAAAATTAGCAAAGATAAATTCTTGGAATTCCAGATTATAAAAAATTGGAAAAAAACTTGAAAAAATCACAAATTTTAGGAAACAAAAGAAAAAAATTTTTTTTTGATTAAATTTACAATTCACCTTGCCAGTCACACACACATTATATATATATATATATATATATATATATATATGACAAAAATGTGTATCATGGAGAACTGACTTTAAAAGGAATAAACACATACCTACCTACATATATAGGTAGATTAGTATCTATACACAAATATTATGTATCAAATCACAGTGTATCATGTTTTAAACATTTTTTAAAATCATATATCAAGCCCTTGCTTAGTATATATGTTAGCCTTATTTTCCAAAACTAAGTAGAAACAAGTATTTCATTGTATATATTAACTTTAGTGTTTATTTGGTGAAACTGAATCCACTATGTCTCGCTTTCCCAAAAAAAGCATTTGTGGCACCTTCATATTAGAATTTACATCATAAAGTCACTTTTAAAATCTTTCTTTGTATGGAATATTCTCATTTCCACTCTTTAATATTTTTAATTCACCTAACAAACCAAAAAAAAAAAAAAAAAAAAAATGAAGCAAATTTTAAATCTGAAAATGACTTATAAATTAAATGTTTATATATTTACTAAAATATCTAAAATTTTATTTCAGAAAAATAAATTATCTCAAATATTGAAAAACACAAAATTAACTATTAAGTAAAGTCATAAATAATTTCCGTTTTTGTTTATCAATTTTATTCTTCAAAATATTACAACTGGTTTCCAAAAATGGAAATTACTTATGACTCAACTTAATATTTGTTTGCAAAAATAGAAAAAAAATTCAGTAACTCAAAATCTAATCTGCTTTAAAATCCCCCCACCCCCAAAAAATACACATCATTTTCTTTGCTTATATTTGCAAACTGGATCTTAACTACAAATTTATGAGCAGATAAAATTTTATCAAAAGAGGAATTGTAAAAAATGCAAAAAAGTAATAGAAAATTAATTTGAACTGTAGTTATTGAGAGGGAATTAAATAAGGCCAAAGCCAAGATGTTTGAAAGAAAGAGACAGAAAGATCAAAAAGAGGAAGAAAAAGAAGGTTGCTTATAACTTCACACTATTTTCAGACGTTGCTCCAGACTTTTAGGAAATGAAAGGGCTGTTCATATTTGAAGGACAATCACAAATATTTAAAGTTTCTTTATTCCTGATTTTGTTTAAAGATTGTGCTTTCAGTTTTAGCTTCATTCCATTTAGCCAGTATTTAACCTTCTTAGTTTTCCATTCCGTCCCCTTTTCAAGGAGATCTTGCAAATCAATCATCTCTTCTTTAAAAGGTGCTTGCTTGCCATAGAATCTTTTAGGCAGATTTTTTTAATTGTTTTTAATAATTTTTTAAAAATTCCATTTCAAGAAAAGTACATTTGTTGCAAGCGAGAAAAGATCCTTTTCCACTCATATTTCATGTTAACATATTGTATACATCCTCGCAAGAAAAGCAGGAAGCCACAGACCATGAGAATCCACCAGACCCAGGAATCCCCTTGCAAAAATCCTTGTGCCATTGTATTGTGCTTCATGATGACTACCCACTTGACCATAGACAAACCAAGACCAGACAATGCTCCACAGCGTCCCGCCACTGTGTTTGTGATACACAGTGAGATGAGGAAGCCAAGCCAGTTAAAAAGAAATGAAATTGCAAATGTGCAGAGAAAAATCCAGTCAGTGCCTATGGACACACCAGTCAGATGATAAGGGTCATAGGCTGGTACGCGGTCATCCTCAGGGTAACCGGAACGTGAACCTCCAGATTGCTGAGTAGAATTGGACAGGTGGGATGTCGCAGTCTGATCCCGATTTTGAAAATCGTGACCCGACATCAACGGATTTTCTCTCATTTCATTTGCTTTGGCCCTCTCAGCTTCTTCATAGGTGGGAAGATCTGTAGCTACCGCATAGGACGGCAGTGTGTCCATGTGGGACAGGCCATAGGTCCCAGACTGTCGGTTAGAGTCATCTGCTTTAACCAAGCCTTCATAGGGAGGTGGGGGTGGCATATCAACCATATCTTGATGTTGGTCAATCATTCCTATACCAATCATCCCGTTGGCAGTGGTTAACACAGGATTGGTAGCCATTGGGATAATGACCACTGATCGAGGTGGTGGCGGTGTTGGTGGCGGCGTCAGCGGAATAGTAGGTGATGTAGGAGACTGTGGCGATGGAGGGGAATGAGCAACCGTGTCCTCTTCGTCCATTGTTAGCGTTGTATTGCTGCCGTTACAAGGTGGACTTAAATCAGAGGGTGATGTGACGGTCACTCGGGGTAGAGGCAGAATAACAGACGCAGCCCGCGGCGACGGTGGGGTTCTCATTATTGCTGAGGTCGGGGTAGTATTTGGGGTACCGCTGATACCTGCCTGTCGCTCTTGTTGCAGCTGCTGGAAGGTCACCTCCGGCTGCAATTCCAAAGACGGGATTGGTGTCGACCGTCTGGTCGGAGTGGACCTCGTGGTGGGTGCTTCCGCTGGCCCAGCTGAGGAATAAGGGGGAGTCAGAGAATTATTGTGTGCATCTTCAAATGCTCTTGCGGATGTGTTTTCATCTCCTGCTGCCTCTGTTGAAGAGGAAGATGCTTCTGTAGTGATTGATGAGGTCGATGTAGGCAAGATTTGACGTGACGAACGGTCCGTCATTCGCTGTGGTTCATGCTTCATTCTTTCTTCACTTTCAACATCATCACAAACACCACTACTACCAACAACAGTAGACTCGCTATTATTATTACAGTGATTGTTGTTGGTGTAATTGTTGTTATTATATTTATTAAGGTGGTTTGTTTTGTCATATTTATTAGCAACGACATTATTTGACAACAAACCTTCTTCGCTGGCCATCGTTGTTTCTACTGCTGCTACTACTGTTGTTATTGTTGCATCCAAATTCGACGTTGTGCTGTTTTTTGGCGTGACTGCTACTGTTGTCGACGTCGACGACTCCATATCCAAGCCCACTGTATGCACAATTCTGGCTTCTTGTGGATGGTATTGAGACTCCACTGCAGGCCCTTGCTGGGCAAAAGTGGTTGAGACGTCTGCAATATCACTTGCAATCATCTCATTATTGTTGGCATTGGTAGTAGCTGAAGTTGAAGTGATTGTAGTATAATGGGCAGCCATAGCAGTCGATGCTTCACTCGCCATAACTTTTTCTGATCCGTCGTCCTCGTTGCAGCTATGATTACGAGGTAAAACGTCCAGAATGGGTGTTTTTTTCTTTTATTCTTTATACCTCTTTTGAAATTGTGGGATTCTGTTATAAAATAGCCAACAATCGTGGCAAGTGAAGAGAAGATAACGACTTAAAAGATTCAGACAAAAGGAGATTGGTCGTTGCATATAAAACCGAAACAAATATGGCGTACCTTCCTTCTTAATCCAGGGGCAAATAATTCCAAGGCCAAGAGGAATGGAGTGATGTCCCTTTATTGGAGTTACCATGGAAACGAGGTCTAAACCCAGAGAATGAGCAATTATTAAATCAAGAGAGAAATAAAAATGTAACAAAAAATATCAAAAAAATACTTTTGTCTAAAAGTTTTTAAAATAAAAATCCGAAAACTAAATAATTATATTTTTTATCATATTGATATAATCTTGCTGTCAAACTAAGAACTAGAGTTGTTTACCTACCAAAAATAAATGTGTCAATGCAACACGCTTGCATTATGTCAATAGATTTGTGGTTAGGACAGATGTCAAACAGGGTTTACTTGTACCTAAAAAGATTAGCTTTGCAATTTAGGACACTGTTTAGAAAATAACATTTTTCAATGTACAGGTAATTAAATATAAGTGCATTCAATTTTTGTACTTAAAAAAACATTTTTTAACTTAATAAAATTAAGAGAATAATATGAATTCCAGTTAACTTATTCAAGTGTTGATGATTTTTTATTCCCTAGAATTTAAAAAATAACTTTTATATTGCTCTTTACTAACAGTAGTTAAAAAAATAAGACCTTGAGCAAAGTCTTTTTTCATATAATGCATTATATTTCAATAATACAAAAATCAAACGATAATACCAATCAATTACTTTTGGTCTACTAATTTTTAATTGTATCACAACTACAAGTGTTAGTAAAAAAATTTTAGGTACAGCTTGGTCATTATGAATTTTACAAGCAAGGGTAAAACAAGATTTTAGAAACAAACATTTTATGCTGCTTTCAGTTCAAGCACAAATCTCTACAAATTGTGGATAATAACTTATATATGACCAGAAATTTTTATGTTCATCTTTTCGAACAAAAAAAAAAAAAAAAATAAAGACTATATGATCAATCAATCAACAAACAGCTAAAATAATACTTTTCTGTGAAGTTATGAAAAAAGGTATTAATTCATGTCTACATTGAAATTACTAGCCTCCACTGGAGCCAACACAGCATGTATATTAACCTACAATTTAATTTGAAATTGAGATGAAACACTGTTTATTATAAGAAAAACATTTATTAGCTAATAATACAAAATAATTTAAAAATAATAATTAATTTAAAAGTGTAAATAAACAAATAAATAAATATTATAATTGTTTCAGTTTGTCTTACATGCATACTTTTTAGAGAAGTGTATTTTAAAGAAAGTCAGACAGTTTATAAAAAATTTGATACATTTGTTTGTAAAATTTTCTATTTTTAGAATTGGTTGTTAAAGAACTGCCAAAATTATTTCGGTCAAGGTGAATTATTTAAAAAAATATGTGCAATTTCTATTTATTATCCAATTAAAAGTGTGGGCTTATGCCCATGTAAATTTGAAATAAAGGTCTTTCTGGAGCCCCTTCAATTATTATAAAAAGGAAACAGCCAGCAGATAAGCTTCAGAACATATTCAAAATCCAAGGAAATAGTTAATCAGATTTCCAAGGAAGAAGATTAAATTTTCAAAGAACCGAATGTTTCAACCGAGATAGAAAACAAACTGACACAAAAATTTCATCCTGAAAGCAGAATAAAAACCTAGAAGAGAAATCAATTTTTGGCTGCCACCTCAGAAGCATACATAAAAAGAAACTGAAACCTGTTAATAGAACTGTTTTTAATTATAAAAAGTCTCCATGACACTGGTGGTTTGAAATTATCAAAACTCCCTCATTCTGTGATTTCTTTTTCTTTTTTTTTTTTGTCTGACGATTAAGTGGATGCACCTTTCTTTTTAAAAAATCAGCATTTTTCAAATTTTGTATTACATTCTCAAAGTTTTTTTCCATTTTTTGAAGATTGTTTTGAAATCACTCATATATTTTTTTCTGATATGTTATCCTGCTTTATTTTTTTTTAAATAAGGCACACAAAAGGAACTTTTTGTACAAGCCCTCTTGTAAAATATTGTATTTGCTTTATTGTTTTAATATGTTTTGCAATCAAACATTTTCTGTGTCAAACAAGTCTTAACAAAGATATGCACCTGAGAGAGTGAAGTCTTTTGAGCCCTTTATAACTTTAAAGATAATGAACCAAGGAAAAATATGGAAGATACTCCCTACACCACTGAATTTCCTCAGTGACTACTTGCAATCATAAGGAATGCTCCAGGTTCACAGGAGATCTGGGGTATATTGGTGGAGATAAATAAGTCATTTGTCAATCTCCAGGGGCAGACTTTAAAAATTCAGCTTTATAGAACAGACAAATCTGACATCCCAAATAGACATTGGTGGCTTTTCTCAAATCAGTTGAACCAGAATGCAGCATGAATCTATGGGGCAAGCTGTTAATGCTTTCACAACTCATCCTCCCTGGCATTTTCTTTTATTAGAAGCACAATACCAGCAAACTGACAATGGTTCTCTGGTTAGCAAATCTGAATAACCAAGGGCTGTGATCTGAGTCTAGAAAGGTGAGACTTAATCAAGATCTTCAGCATCTTTCTTTGTTACTCTTTACCTTCCTGACTTCACACATTCATTTTCCCTTCTGCCTTTCATCTGCTTTTCCTCATTCTGTAACTGTGTGAAAAATGAACATATAGACAGCTGATGGCTACATAAATACATATATATATATATATATATATATATATATATATATATATATATATATATATATATATAAAAAAATAGTTCACAGTGAGTGCTGATATTAATAATAAAAGGTGCTTAATGTAAAATGGCAGAGATAAAATTTATACTAAAAATAATTATGCATTTGTTCTTCACCACTCAATGCTACTTAGAGTGTTATGCTTATAGCAATCAACAAGCTCAAATTAAAATTGTCCAACCTAACAGTTCTTTATTTATAGGCTGCTAGCAAGATAAGTGTTAGGTTGTACAATTTTAATTTGAGCTTGATGATTGCTATAAGCATGAAACTGTGCCATACATTTTTTCTCATCAGAATTCATCTTGAACATTTATGAATTTATCATTCATCCATACATTGTATATTCCTGCCATATCTGTTCTGGTGCTCCTGATATATATATCAAGATTAACAAAATACAAAGCAGGTCTGTAATGTTATTGGTTGTGACCTGTCATCTCAACTTCAGTTACTTTCCCACCACTGTAATGTGGCTTCCCTCTGTCTTTTCTATAAATATTTTCATGGCAATTATTCTAATGATCTCTCATCCTTGGAACCCCAACTGCATGAAATTAAGTGTACAACTAAATTGCCAACTAGATTTCATCATTTTACTGTTGAATTTGCTAGATGTAATCATAACTTCTATTCTAATAGTTTCTTTTCTCACACTTCTCACCTGTTGAAATCTCTTCCTGTTTCTTGTTTCCCTACTATCTACAATCTTCAAAAATTTAAATGTAGCACCAATCACCATCTTCTACATTTCTGAATCCTATTCTTTTATTGTCCTTTCTCCTCACTAAAATCTTCTCCTTCACTTTCACTCCCAGTAACTCCTCATGTCTAAGTGACATTATCACCTTGATTGGTATGAAATGATTTAAAAAAAAGCATAAATACATAGAAAGATATATATATATACATATTATTAAATAAGATATAATAATGTTCAATATTTATAAAATGCTGACTCCAAATTTTGTAATTTTTTTAATTACAATAATAGTTATCATTCTAGTCTACATTCTGTTAAATTTGATATATATTAAATTATATCATTTTACATATATTAATTACTAGTGTCAATAGCTAGCATTATTATTTTATATTTTACACACACACACATATCTCTCTCTCTCTCTCTCTATATATATATATATATATATATATATATATATGACAAAGTGGTAAAAGTTTACTTGTGACGCATTTCATCTTTCAGGACTTCATCAGACTAAATTTGTTATGTTGGTAGGACTACACATGTGCACAACAGAGGGGTGTTGGGAATTTTAGAATTATTTTTTTTTTAATCTAGCCGAATTCATTTAGAATCTTTTTCTTTCCATCACTTTTGTAAGTAGGCATTCCACACTGTGATATTAAAAGATCTGGCAGGAATGGTGAAATGTTATAAGAGCCAGGGCACAAATTTACTGTAAATGACCTTGTGATCCTGAAATTTTGGATTCCCAATGTATTTTTTTGTATGATAACAATTTCTATAACTTGGAAATAATTTTGGGAATAATCAAAATTCATTGCGAAATCCAACGAAAGTCATCCATGAAATAAAAATAATTGTTTGTTATATGGAAAGTAAGGACCTACATACATCAAATTGTCTTTAAATTAAGAATTATCATTGAACTTTTAAAAGGTAAGCTTAAATATTATTGCAATACTTAAATGCAGCAATCAATTTTGAGTTCTTCCGTGGTTTATTGTTACCTATTGCATCTACTCCTCCCTACCTATTATGATTAAAGGCCCAGTCAAGAGCCCTCCACAGAAGCTAGCTTAAATGCCACCCAACAGGGTGATTTTTTAAATAGTATATATATATATATATATATATATATATAATATTTTTCATGAGTTGCCCAGATAATTTGATTCTAGTCAGAAGTGCTGATCATTTTGTAAATAGTCATGTCATTTCTGATGGCTACTATGCTATAATAATAATAATAATAATAAGTATGATATTAATGAGGATGATATTAATATTAATAATACAATAATGATAATAATGAAAATAATAAAAGAGAATAATGATGATTTAGTAGTAAAAAGAAATCAACATTTGCATTACATAATATGTGT